GTGCTGCCAGGCCTGGCCCGGCTGCACAAGGGACCCCCACAACCCCCAGAGGAGCCCAGCTCGGCCCCAGGGTTCCCCCGTGCACCAGGAAGGAGCCAAATCCAGAGAAAACCAGGAGCAGCTGCTGCTCCGCAGGAGCAGGGACACAGCCCAGGGACCCCAGCCCCTCTCAGGCAGGGATGCCCAGCTCCAGGCAGGGTGCAGGGGACACGGGGACAGCAACGGGGACCAGGCCCCCACGGCCCCAGCGCAGAGCCGGGCGCTGCCAGCAGCACCTGCAGCTCTCTGGGACGGCAGCGTCCCACCGGGACACTCAGGATCCCCGGGACAGGGCTGGGCAGCCCCTCCCGTCACCCCTCAGGGCGGCACAGCAGAGCCACCACGAGGTTCCGCAGGCTCCCCCCAGCCCCATCCTCACCCTGCAGCATCCCTGGAGTGGTGGCAGCAGGGACGGGGGACAGCAGGCACGGGAAGGGGACGCGGGAGAGAGGAAACCCCTTCCCTCATGCGGGGCGCGGCGAGGGAGAGCACCCCAGGGGAGGGCAGCCCGCGCCACCAGCAGGGACTCACCTGACATTAATTAGATACTGGGCCAGGCTGATGCTCGCTGCAGATCCAGTTATGGTCACCTGCCGGTCAGTGGAGCCCTCCACGGGGTTGGCAATCTTGATCTGAGCCCCGGACATCTGGCGGATCTCGTTGATCTTGGCGCCCTGACGCCCGATGATGCAGCCAATCAGCTGGGGAGGGAAACGGGGTCAGCTCTGCGTCACCTCGCTGGGGGACACCGGGAAAGTCCTTCAGGGAAAGGGCTGTCCCACAGGGGAGGACACCGTCCCTGGAGGCGTCCAAACTGGTGCAGATGTGGCCCTTGGGGACACAGCTCCGTGGTGGGGGGACAGTTGGACTTGGTGGCCTTAAAGGCCTTTTCCAACCTTAACAGTTCCATGATTATGGAACTCCTGGGAGTGGAGAGTTAAGGAGCTGGAAAAGGGGGGTTTAAGGGATTGAGAAAAGGCGTTTTTTGCCCCTGGGGACCCTGAGAGCCGAGGGGCAGCCACCCCCCACACCTCCAAGCCCCCCGGGATACTCACATCGTTTGGAATGGTGAGTTCATGGGAGGTGGTTTGGGCAGAGGCATCCAAACCTGCTCGGAGACAGAGAGGGGGCCCAGGTGAGGGTGGGGGCAGCCGGGGGGTGCAGCACCCCAAGTGCTGCCAGGTTCAGGCTGCCTGGGAGGGCTCTGAGCGGGCGGGGAGGGCGCAGCAGCCTGGGCGGTGACTCCGAACCCCGCTGCTCCCCAGCCCTGCCTCCCTGCTTCCCCTCTCCTCGCTCACCCCTGCGCTCACCCCTGGAGCTCTCCCCTCCCCGTCTGGATTCTCCATCGAGGTGGGACAATCCCGGAGCAGGGGGCTGGCACTGGGGGGCTCCAGCCGGGCACTCTGCTCCACTCCCACTCTGGGTCCGGCTTTCAATGGCCACAGTACCCCTCCTCCTCCTGCTCCTCCTCCTGCTCCTCCTCCTGCTCCTCCCTGAGCCCCGCAGGGCCGTGCTACGCCGGCGGGCACTGGGAGGCTGCTCACACCCCACACAGGGCTGAGCTCGTGTGACTCGGGCGTTTTGCAGACATTTTTCCACTTTTCCCGTTCCCCAGCTCACTCCCTGCAAGAGGGAGCGGCAGCGGCCCCGAGGCCTCGCGCCGGGGCAGTTCTAGGGGGACACAACAGGTGACACCCGGCGCTGTCCCCGCAGCTCCTGACAGCTCCAGCACCTCCTTGGCCAGGGGCTGCTCCCCTCTCTGTGTTTTTTGGGTGGGGGGGTTAAAGCTCGGGGCCCACAGCTCGCTGGGACAGCCGAGCCTCCACCCAGTCCTGCTGCTCTTCACTATCCAGCTGCGCTCCAGGGCCCAGCCAGCCGAGCCAGGCTGCACCTCCAGCCCTTCTGGGGCTCCCCTCAACCCCCTTTCCCCCCCAGTCCAGGCAGCATCTATCAGGGAGAACGAGACCCCGGGCAGCATCAATACACAACCGAGTAACTACAGATCGTGTGTTTGGATCATTACCCCAATAGCCTTTCACCTCTGGAGAGCTGGAGTCAACGCCTGTTAAGATACAAGTCACAATGAGTTTGGCTGTCTCAAGTTTAGAGCCACAAATGGGTAATTTTTTTCTTTCTTTTTTTTTTTTTTTTTATGTGGTTTGGTTCTTTTTAGCCATCTTAGCAAATCTGCAGCAAATTTGGTACAACTTGGCAGTCGCCGGCATTAGGCCTGGAGTAGCCGGAGGGGAGAGCGGGTGCTGCGGGCCGGGGGTCCCCAGAGCACTGGCAGAGCTGCGAGGACACGAGGGAGGGCGGGCAGCAGCGGGGATGGGTGGAGGCCGTGCCCCTGCGGCCCCAGACACGTCCCAACAGCAGAGGTTACCTGGCCAGCCCGGGGCAATGTTTGGGTTTAGGTTTTTGTGAGCACGGCCCCAGCGCCGGAGCCGGGAGCGGCCCGGGCCGCGCACGAACGCACACGGAGAGAAGGAGTTTCCATACCACTGAATCCAGTGTTGCCATGAGACATTGGAAAGTGTGACTGTTGCATTGCCAATTGGTGCAGCTTGGTCAGCTAGAGGAGAGAGAAGGGAGAGGGGGAGAG